GCATGTGCCGCACCGGCTCCGCTTCCCAGCCAGCCAAATTCGGCTCCGAAAGGCCTTCCCCGCCTTGTTAGCGTTTGATTGATTGTCTTATTAAAGCGTGTTCTTGTAAGTGTGACCGAGCTGATTGCACTGCATATGTTTGGGATAATGCTCATTTTAAACAACTGAATAATAATAATACTAATAAATAAAAAAAAAAAAAAAAAAGAAAAAAAGGACCAGAGGAGGAAGAAGATGAGCTCTAGAGAACGGGTTAAGCCTAAACGATCCCGAGGAGCAGTGCTGTAACTCGCGCATTAAATTGCTCCGTGACTATCGCATCACTCAGCCCTTCCCGGCCCTACTCAGGCCATCTTTGTTGCGGTTTGCGTGTCACCTCCTGTACCATTACGTGAGGCAGCACCGAGACGGCCGCTTACTTTCCTGGCTCAGGCTATATGTTTTTATGAAGGTTGTACGATTAAACCGGACCGGATCTGCTTTCCCAGCACTATTCTTTACTCCAGCGCCCAAATCATTAGCAAATCGGCTCTCTGTATTTCACGTTTTCTGCTCGGTTGTTAGGTCGTTTGCCGGCACCTGCAGAAAGGCATGCGGCTCCTTCAGCTTTTGGCTTGCATAGCTGAAGGCTCCTTTTGTTTTCGATTATTCTCCCGCTCGCCTGGCCACTTTATTTCATACTGAGTTTAGCCCCTGAAAACACCCTCCGCCATATGTCACCCCAGGGCCCGCTGTCCTGCCTCTTACAATAGCCTCACCCTGGGCTAAAGCCAACGTCAGGATGAGCTGGAGTCTCGGCAACACAAATGGGCGCATCAGGTTCCTGGGTGGGTGTGAGGCCGGAGGGAAACCGGTCCCACGTCCCTTTCCTGCATCCTTCACCCCGGAGCCCCTCGTTTGTCGCCCGCTCCCCCCCGCCCCCCCGGTTCTTCTCCCTGTTGCTTTTGTAAGGCGAGAGGGTCCCGTCCCCCCTGCGCACCCGTGGGTGGGCTGGGGGCCGTGGGGGTGTGGAGAGCTGGTATCAGCGAAGGGCTGCCATTAGGGTAGATCCCCCCCGAATCGGTCCCTATCTTTGGAAAGTTTTTCTTCATTTCTTTCTCTCTTTTAAGGAGGGGGGTGAAGAAATCGCTGGTTCAGGATCTTCAAAGAAGGAAACAAATAAATGACTACATCTGGCCTCCAATTCACCGTTTGCTTTTTTGGGGCTCTTTTTCTGTTGTTTTAATCAGTTAAACTGAGTGTACCTACAACCAAGAACGTAGCGCAGGTTTTTACCCTAATATTTACAAACCCCATTTTGCAGAATCTCCATCGGCATATTGCATGCACATATACACACAAAGCGATTTTTCTCTGCTGCCCTTTCTGCAAAGAAGTGCCTGGGACTTCAGAGACAGAAATTGCCACTTAGGAACATCACATGAAAGTATTAAGTAATTATTTAAAACAAGGCTGTTTAGAAAAATATTTGTATTTATTGCAGCTGCTCGATTGGCCTCGTTAAAGCTGGGGAGCATTTAAATTGTGTTACAGTCTCATTTAAATCCAGTTTCGTTCCAGCAGGCTGCAAAGCCTGAATAGAACCAATCACTCCATAATGATGATGAATGAGAAATTAATTCAGATACAAGCAAGACAATTTAGGCCTTCATCTGTTTAAATAGCCTTCCAAGATTATTCGCAATTGCAGGTCACAGATTTAATCAATTGTCCAATCTTGTGAAAGTCATATCCTTGCATCTTCATCGAGATTATTTATAGCGCGGCGAACACCGGCTCCGCTTCCCAGCCAGCCAAATTCGGCTCCGAAAGGCCTTCCCCGCCTTGTTAG